TTYTYCYKKWATYGCAWGAAGGCATCCAATCTTTGCATCATTGTTTCCATCTTCTCTTCTAGAGATACGATCTTCCCTTTGAAATCGACCAAATTTCCTTCAATTTCATCTATTCTTGACTGTACCGATCTCATCATAGTTCCGGAATCGTGCTCTGATACCAATTGATACGATTTGACTAGTTCTCCGCACTACTTTTCTGCAGTTGAATACTACCATGCCTATTTTGTGACTACTATGAATTCAAGAAAAAGGAAAAATGAAGAAATTGATTATCTATTAAGCTGTCAACTTTCGAGAGGTGACTTTCTCCTATATAAGGTTTATACAAAGAACAAATTCAATAATTCTCTCTCCTCCAGATCTGCATCTATATACTTAGTTTCCCCCCATTTGCCGACTACAGCAAAACCCACCAACTCTTTTTAGATTCTTCAGCCATTTATTTTCATGAATGGTCTATATTGCCCCTCATCCTCTTTCTTTTCCTAGAATACGTAAATTGTGCTCTCGGCATAACAATCCGTTGGTGTAAAATTTCTCCTGTTAAGTATTTGTTTTTGGCCTTGTTCTCCTGTTATGGAATATAGAGTGTGGAGGTCTGAACCGGCTGATGTTAGCAGATGATTTGTGGTTAGGGGTGAAATGCCACTCAAACCCAAAGCGAGCTAGCTGGTTCTCCCCAAAATGCGTTGAGGCACAATAGTTGACTAGACATCCAGGGGTAAAGCACTATCGTCGTGCGGCCGTGAGATTGGTATCAAATCAAGTCAAACTCTGAATACTAGATATGAGGAATTGCATAATTTTCCATCATCAGTTTACAGTAAAATTTTACATCCTCCTGCATCGCACAAGTAAACAACTAGTATTTGCAAATACATGCATTGGTTGTTGATAAATTAATATGATCACGTGAACATGTTTGACAAAAAGTTGCTGCTTTTTCAAAAATAGTGATAATTCCGTAATGATCCTGAACAGACTGCCGATCTCTAGATTGTCCAAAATTAGGTTCTTCCATGAATAAGATTTTAAAAGTTGCAAGTAGAAATTACATTATGTTGGTTCAATTTCATTTGTTAATACAAACAAACTACATGAATTATGCTTCATACATGAATTTCATGATGTTTTTAGTTCTTGATGTAGAATGAATTAGGAAGTTTATCATAGTCCTCAAAAAGATTTATAACATATGTAGTCAATAGAAAGTCGACTATCATAAATATATTTAAGTAAAGTGGTTATGATATCAGGGAAAAAACAAAGTGAATACTTGGTTGACTCTGAAATTTTGGACTATAATTTAACTTTGCACTAAAGTACAAAAGACATGCACAATAGGAAAACGTAAAGTGAATACTGCATTTCAAATTCACCCGAAAACAAGCTGGTATATTATGATGTTATTAAGCAAGATCCATTTATTACATATTGTAATGCATCATGTATGTTAACCATGTTTTATACATGATGTTTAAGGTTCTCAACATGGGCAGGGGAACTGATTTTTGGATCATAAGGCCTACCGTGGTGAGGCTTTTAATATAAATATTTCGAAAGGGTGGCAATAATATACGTAGAACCCTTCAAATCCCCTTTTTTCATATATCGCACCATTTTAATTTTTTTCATTATCTTGGAGATTTTTTTCACTGTACTTTATCCTCGATGACAATTTTAGCCTTACATATGGTACAAACTAGAATGCTTCCTATGCTTTTGTCGTTGGCTTGCTTACTTATGCTATGTATTTATATGTATATAATTAGGGCAAAAATGCAACAAAGTTTGCCTTAATTTCTATTTAGTGTAACAAAGATTTTTTTTTCTCAATCAACGTAATGTAGTTTCAAAGTTTTCTATTTAGTGTAACAAAGATTTAGAAGTTTTCGAATTTTCACCATTTTTATTGATCACCTGTTGATCTTTAACATTTGTTAATGTGGATGTCAAGTTTATCGTCCCCTTCACTGTAACCCTTTCATAAATAGTTTCCACGTCATCACATGTTACAAGATTAGCACATTAAAAATGGGTACAAAGTAAGAAATTTTGGAATTGGTTGAGAAAAAAAAACTACTTTTTACTCTAAATAGGAACTAAACCAAACTTTGTTAAATTTTACCTTATATAATTTTTATATATTTATTTATTTTTCTGAGAAAATTTAGACGTGGTCATGGGGTGCTACCTTGGTTTTAAAGAAATTACATGTTTGTACTTCCAGTGAAGCAGATAGACTGAAGGAATTGATGGGTTCAAAAGTAGTCCGGCAATAAGCATCTGTTGGAGGCGCTATCAGTGAACATAAAAGAACGGATTACTGAGATGATGCATAGACATTCTTTTCAGCTAATTGATCAAACTAACACACAACTAAACTTGTGTGGCACATCTACAAGGGGGGTATTTAGGAGAATTACGCTCCGACAATTTTTTTAACGCATGATCTTTTGACAGATTCTGAGTCATTTTTGTGGTGGGAAGGGGCATTTTTGTTAGGAAGATGCGTTTTTAAATCTATCAGAAGATCACGCATTTAAAAGAACATGTTAGAAAGTTATTCTCCATCTAAGGAGGCGGTGAGGATCAAGTTGTGATGATTAACACGTAAATTTGAAACAACTGGTCTACATATAGAAAGCAAGGTATGTGTAATTTTTGCCCATGGATGCTTACTGAAATCTGCATCATGCTCTCATGTCTACTACAATGGCAGGCCGGTTTTGTTGGTTGCTGCTGATGCTCTAGTTAGATTGCATCAAAGATCAACTCCAGCTGCTTGGATCTTTTGAAAGCTGGTGTGTCGGATGCAAATTCACTCCATATGGTTTATACGTTAATATAATCGTCGTATTTTGTACGGATGCATTGCCATGAAGCATACTAAATGCGTGGGTCTCTATAACTTGAGAATTCTTGCAGTTTATGTCAGTTGATGAAACAATGTTGTAATGAGAAGCTGGGTTTTATCATTGTGCTTTCTAGATATGTATCTTTTATGCAAGCTAAAGGTCTTTTTGTGAATAGTCTCTCTATCCTCCGTGACAGATGATAGATGTAAGTTTTGCGTGCATCTTATCTCTATAGGGTTTGTTTGGTTTTAAAACCCCGTTCATGACATTGGAACTGGTCTTCGGTGTTTTGACTGTGATGTACATGCTTCTGCCCGATCATATTTTTGTTTGTTGTTCCTATTGGGGTTCTAAGTTACCTAAAGCGCCAACGGCATGTAAAGTCAGTGTTTCGGAAGATCTGATTATCATCCATTGTTCATGTTTTTTTTCATATTTTTCCTCACGTTACTACAAGAAGATTGGTCACGAAGTTTGACGATCTTTTTAGTTTTATCTTTAGGAAATGATAAGTTGTTGGGGCAAAGATATATTTAAGGAGTAAATGTCTTGTTAATTTATATTAAATTATAAAGCATTTGACTAAAACTTTTAAAAACCATTTTTTATGCATGAAATATTGTTTATTGATGCATATTACTTAAAATTCAAGATTACAAGTAAACTGTACCTAAATACAACTTATTAAAGCTTTATGTTTGAATTTGTGTAAGTAACTGTAAATAAACATAGTCAAATACAAGATAAACATCTCATTTTAAATAAAATCTAAAATATAATTAAAATAATCATTGAATTCTAACATAATACTTAATTATTATTCTTATAAAAAATAATGTTATTAAATCAAGAATAAATTACTTCGTTATTAAATTTAAATTAAATTATTAAAAAAAATTGAATTAAAGAAATTATACAAAAACCAAGAACTTTTAAATAGTTAATTTGATACTAATATTGATATATTTATTTTTAAATTTTGTGATATTTCAAATTTATATTTTATTTAATAATAAAAACATTATCTTTTTCTTAAAACTATATATAAACCATATTATAACATATATGGAGATGGAATAAAATAAAAGAGATATATCTCCTTACATTATACGAGTATCCTTATAATGTAATGTGATTCGGAACATGACCGTTCATCATAATTGTAATAGAAATAGATCAGCGATATAGTAAAGAAAAGGCAAGCATAATTATGAAAAGATACCTTTATTGATCAAACAATCTTGAACACATTTGTCGTTAAGACAATTTGAGCATACATCAGGAGCAACGATAAGATTGAAATCTAAAGATTTCGAACATTGAGAAGTAGAAAATTTGAAAGAAGGTTTCTTAGACATATCATTCTAACTAAGGGTTTTTTTAGATGAGGGTTTTTTTTTTCGGATGATTTGAATGAGAACTTCTATATCCTTTTATAGACAGATTCTTGAATAAAATGACCGGCACGTTTCCTTCATCTTGAGCAATTATTGGACTTGAAACCGGTTGAAGAGCCATCGACATATATAATCTTTTGTCTCTAAAGTCTCTTGTCTTCTTTTGAATAATAATTGAAATCTTTTGACCTTAATGTCTCTTCTTTTGAATAAGAAAAAACTCCTTTTGGAGTCTTCTAATGTCCTTTCTTCAATAATGAACCTATCTTCAATAATGAACCTGCAATTATTTTGATAAGATAATAATTTTGAACAAGATGTTATCTAAAATATCAAAGAGTGTATTTCACATGTTTTGATAAGATTTATTTTGATAAGATACAAAGAATTTGCTTGCAAAAGCAATGACCAAAAACACACACACACAACCCTTTGAAGATTAAAGATCTTCATAGGGGTCTTAACTATCTTGATATAGATTTTGAGAAACTTGAGACATGGTGTTTGAACTTGAAGGAGAGCCTACTCGTTTAATCTCTTGAATAAGTCTTTTTAGCTCTTCTTTTGAATCAACGGCCAAAAATTGATTAATTTCTTCATCTTCTTTGTTCTGGCTTAATGCTGATGAAATGGAAGCCGAAGCACCAAAAGTGATTGAATAATAATCAAGAATTCCTTGAATAGTCATCTTCTGCATTTGATCATTAGGAAGTTTTTCCCACCATTTTACTCTAGTAATTCTTGTAATAATGGAGGGGAAGAACCATTTGCATCAACGACCTTAAAGGTCCATGACAAGATCCATGGTATTTTGAATAATACTATAAATTGGAGAAGATATTCAAACTCTGTAATTTCTTGAATAAAGATTTCTTTGAACTTTTTGAATCCTTCATTTACCCTTGGAGGAAGGGTTTGTGGGATATTTATCATGAATTTGAACCATCTGACAAACCATCTTGGGTAATTGCAGTCAAAATTTTTGTCAAAATACAAAAACTAAGAATGGGTGTAACTTCTTAGGTATAAGAAATTATACCAAGCATCTTGATAATCATAATAATTATAAGAGGGGTTTTGACTAAAATTTGATAAGGGTTTGCTGACATAGAGTTGGGATCCCCAATCTTGATTAGAGAAGACACGAAGGATTTGAACCTTACTAAAATCTATTTGAGAAGAGTTGGTTTGATTTGAGCGATGAGTAATCCTAATAGATTTAGAGTCTATTAGAATTGCTTCATAATATTTTCTAGATTTGAAAGAATCGCTAATGACTAAATAACCTTTTTGGAAAAGATAGTCATTGAGTACTTGAAATCATTTGCTTTGAAGATGAATTTCATAATCTTCAAGGATTTTAACTGTTTGGCTATAGGGGTTGAGTAAATAAGAACTTGAATCCGATTTTGAAGGAGTAGGAGGCCTTAAAGGACTGTTTTGAGCGAAAGGTGACCTTTGAACAGTTTTTGGAGTAGTAGAGATGGATTTATTTGAAGCAGAATTTGATGGTGTTGAAAGAGTACTATCCAGACTTTGAATCAGAGATGAATAGTATGGACTAGGTGGTGTTTGAGAAAAGGGAGAAAATATATTTTGAGTAGAAATGAGAATTATTGAATGATCACTTTGAGTAGATTTGAATGGAGAAAGAGTCTTTTTCTTTTGATCAGGAGACATAGTCTTTTGAGAAGTCATCTTCCCTGTAAAAACTCTCTTGATAAGAAATCTGGTTAAGAGTTATCTTTTCCTTTGATAAAATCTATTTGAAAATCAAAATTTCCTAGCAAGGCTTGCCATCTTGCAAAAATTTGTTTTGAAATCATATTTTTGATGTCATTTTCTAAAATTAGTTTTGCAGACTAACAATCGATTCTTAACAAAAAAAGTTTCATGTATAAATCATCTTCAAACTTTTTTATACATAAAACAATGCTTAAAATTTCTTTTTTGACTGTTGAATAGTTCTTTTGGGTGTCGTTCCAGGCACCTGAAAAGAATCTTACTAATTTTTCTTTAATTTGATCAGTTGATTTTTGTTTGAGTATTCCTCCAAATCCTATGTCATTTGCATCAGTTTCAACTATTAATTGAGCATTAGGGTTAGGAATATGGAGACATGGTAAATATTTTACCTTTTGTTTTATATGTTGAACAATTTGAGTATGTTCTTGAGTCCATGGTTTAGGATTTTTCTTGAGTCTTTGATAAAGTGGTTTACAGATTATTCCTAAATCTTTGAAGTAATCATGAACATAATTTAAACATCCTAAAAATTTTTGTAATTGGGTTTTGTCTTTGATTTCATCTGGAAATTTATTAGCAAACTCTAAACTTCTTTGAATAAGTTTTATAGTTTTATGAACAATTTCATGACCTAAAAACTTTATTTGAGTTTGGAAAAGACTCATTTTTGAAGCAGAGACAACTAAACCATTCCTATGAATTAGATTATAAAATAAATCTAGATGTTTGAAATGTTGTTCAATAGATTTTGAAAAGATTAAAACATCATCAATGTAAACAATTTCAAAATCGCTTAAAGGGTTGATAATATCATTCATAATATTTTGAAATTACGAGGGAGCATTTTTGAGTCCAAAGGACATAACATTCCATTCGTAATGACCAAAAGGAACATTAAATCCAGTTTTATATTTATCTTTTTCATAAATTTGGATTTGCCAAAATCCAGATTTCATGTCAAATTTTGAAAAGATTTTTGCTTCATGCAATTTTTTTGAGTAAATCTCTTTTATGCGGAATAGGATATCTAATCCATTCTAAAACTTTGTTTAGAGGTTTGTAATTGATTACAAGTCGAGGAGAACCTCTTTCTAATTCTGCAGCATTCATAACATAGAATGCCGAGCATGACCAAGGGGACTTGGAAGGTCTTATAAGTTTCTTTTGAAGTAAATCTTGAATTTCTGTTTTACAGTGTTCTTATAATTCAGAAGACATATGAATAGATCTTGATTTAGAAGAGATATTTTTCTCATCAAAGTCTTTAATATATGGTAACTTGACTATATGTTGTTTTCGGTTCCAAAAGGCATTTGGAATATTTGAACAAACATTATTTTCAAATTTTTCTTTCATTCTTTTTACTTTATTTTGAATGAATGAACTTGATAAATTCTTAAACTACTTATTTCACCATTTAAGAATTTTACTTGATTAATCTTATTATTTAAATTATTTAACTCATTATGAACAATTGGACTAGCAAATTTGAAAAATATTTCTTTTTCTAAAACTTTGGTAATTAAACCATCTTGATTAATTGAGAATGAGTATAATTGAGTAATAAATGGAGTACCTAGGATTAAAGTAGATGTTAGATTTTTTACAAGTATTAAAGAAGTTTTATAACAATAATTATTATTACATATATAAACATTTGAAACTTTATATTGAATATTGAGTGATGAACCACTTGCGGTTGATAAACGATTTTTTGTTTTCTCATAGTATTTTGTAGGTATAATTCTTTCTTGAATACAATTCATATATGCACCACTATCAATTAGTGCTAGAACAATTACTTTGAATTCATTATTAATACAAAGGTTAATGTAAACATTCCATTTTTGAGAAGTTATTCCTTTTGAATGATTTATAGGATTAATTAATTTATTTTTTATTTGAGTAATTGTTTGATCATTTATATGTTCAATTGGTTCTTTGTCCTTTTCGACATTAGATAACCTTTCTTTTATTAGTTTTATTTCGATCTTAACAATTTTTAATTCTTCTTGTAAATCTTCGATGGTTATTGGAGTGGTTGATTT